GCCCAGCCCAGCCCAGCCCAGCCCAGCCCAGCCCAGCCCAGCAGCACTTACAACTGCAAGGGTGCTGCAACTCCCTCCAACTGCCTATCTCCCCCTGACATCTATGCCCTTTTGGCCACCCTGCACGGTGGCACTCAGAAGCAGTGCCAGGGCTGGGCTGAAGTAGATGCCCGGGGCCTTTAGTAATCTCAGCCAGCTACCACCATCCCCAGGCATCTACTTCAGCTCCAGCGCCACCGCTGCCACTGAGAAATACTACCTCAAGCCCCACACTGCGGCCAGCCACCCCAGCACCATTGCACAAAGCCCACCTTTTGGTCTTCCCCAGGTCTCACGAGAACGGGCATGCAATTTGGAGATGAAATGGGGCATGCAATTTGGAGAATGAGGTCTTCTGATTCACCGCAGGAATGAGGCTCCTGCTGTTCTCCAAATAGCGCATCCATTCTCATGAGACCTGGGGAAGACCAGAAGGTTTCCAAAGGATCACAAAAATGGGGCGCGCAATTTGGAGAAGGAATGGTGTGAGTGACTTGGAGAATGGCACAAGCAGCCTTGGGAAGAAGGCCTGGCGCACCCAGCAGCTGCCTCGCATACAGTAGGATCAGGCCAGACGTGCCTCATCAGCAGCGGGAGGAAAACAGTGAAGGTCAGCTGGGCGCAGCAGAGACTGTGGAGGGCAGGCCAGCGGGAGCAACTGGAGCTTTGCTCAAAGGTGCTGGGGTAGCTGGCTGTGGTGTGGGGCTTGAGGCGGCATTTCTCAGTGGCAGTGGCAGTGCTGGGTCTGAAGTAGAGGTGTGAGAAGTGATAGCAGCTGGCTGAAACTGCTGAAGGCCCCATGCCTCTACCTCAGCCCCAGGCCTAGCACTGCTGCCACCGAGTGTCACTGTGCAGGATGGCCAAAAGGGCATAGATGAGGAGGAGATAGGCAAGTGGAAGGAGTTGCCGCACCCCTATGGTCATAAGTGCAGGCAGGCTGTGAAGTGCCCGAATTTTGATCATGTGGCCACAGGGGCACTGCAATGACTATAACTTTGAGCACAGGTCATAAGTCCATTTTTTCAGCACCGTTGTAATTTTGAACAGTCACTGAATGAATGGTTGTTAAGCAAGGACTATCTGTAATTAGTAAAGTAGTCATACTTCTTGGCATGTTAGCAAAATTTGTTTGGTTCATCTGTTAATATCAGCTAATTTTAGCTAATATTAATTCTCATTTCCCAAACTGACATGAGAATCTGAATGCAATCACCTTTCAGTTTTTACACTTTTTAAAAATTTTGTGATGTACCGATTTAGTCAAAAAATGTACCGTATTTTTCCGACTATAAGACGATACTTTTTTCTAAAATCCTTACCCTAAAAATTGAAGGGCGTCTTATTCAAGGAAGTCATCCGAGAATCGCGCGGTTGCAAAAA